GCACTCCAGTCTGGGCGACAGAGTGAGACTCCGACTCAAAAAAAAAAAAAAAAAAAGCCTCTTGCTTTAGACCTTACATCCCATTGCAATTTTCCATTCCCTCAGCTTCTTTCTCATTCTGAAAACAGCATCGTCTAACATTAAATTTGTCCTGGGCAACTGAGTGTGGGAGAGACTCGCAAGTGCTCCTGCCTTCAGCTTCATGCACACAGGAGCGAACCCAGGTGGTGTTTGTGTCACAATCAGCACACTTCTCAGTGAGACAGGGAATAAATTAATCACAAGACCAACTAAAACATATTCTCCAATCTCCGCACCTCGGAGTGCTGGAGCGGGGGAGCCCAGCAGGGCTGGGAGCTGGGAGGAGGTTCAGCCTCAGACCTGTTAGAATAACGAGTCAACAACACTTTCATCTTCGCTGTATCTGCCGTACATAATGTTACCTCTGTTCTTCCTTAGCTTACGAAAAAAGATTACAGATAGCCAGTTTACAGGAAAAACCTAAATTTTAATTTATAACACCAAAACAATGTCGGCTGTCTTTGCCCAAAAGGGTCAGCAGAGGGTGCTCAACCCTGCTGTCGTTGGAAACGACCTGTGCATTTCTCTCATCCCAGGCGTTTCCTTCCACCTACACTCCCCAGCAACGAAGGCGGCCGGAGAAGAAGCCACAATTCCCGTCCCCGCATGTTTACAAAGGCGCTTGTCCACGCAAGCGGATTATGTCACTGTCGCCGGGAACGGTAGCTCATGCCTGTAATCCCCGCACTTTGGGAGGCCGAGGTGGGAGGATCGCTTGAAGCCAAGTGTTCAAAACCAGCCCGGGCAACATAGCGAGATCCTGTCTCTAATAACAACAAAAAAATATGTAATATGTCCCTGCCCAAGTCCAGGCACCGGCCCTTTAGGACACAGACCGTGATCAGTTACACACACTGCCCTCCCCTCGAGAGATGGGAAGGGATTGGGGGAGCGGTCAGCTCGAGCGTGGGTGTCAAAACAACACAGAACCTAGCGACAAGACGTGGGCGCACAGCCGCGCCCAGCAAGGTAAATTATAGGGGAGAAGCGGCGCAGCCTCCTCGCGGGCCCCGAGAAGAAGCTGATGTCATCCTTCCCCAGCAGTCCCTTCTGGAAACCCCTTCTGCGCAGGCGTGTGCAGGGAGGGACGGCGAGAAGGAAGAACAAAATCCTTCTGGGCAGCGATTCTGCATCCCTCTCAGCCCTGCCCGCCCCGGCTCCGTCGCCTCCCTTTCTCGGCGGACGCCAGGTCTGCACTTTACATATCGTCAGCCCGAGCGCCCGGGATGAGACACGCTCTCAGTGCCCACCACTGGGGACCAGGAACAGGTGCCCCCCGCTGCAGAGGGCTGAGACCAGGTTTTTCTCAAGCAACAGACCCACCTCTTTTGAGTCTTCTCCGCCATGGTACGGCCCCTGCCTGCAGTTTTAGCGGAAATCGACACCACCGCCTGGGTAGAGCGATGATTTCTACACGCGATTGGACAGCCTGGCAGGGTTGAGAGGAGGCGGGACCGGAGGGGGGTCAGAGCGCAGGGGCGGGCGGAAGTGGGCGGGGCCAGGCAGGGGCGGGGCCCGCGCGGGGCCCGAGCGGGCGGTGCCGGGAAGACTCGCTTCTTCTGCTTGCTCGGTCCCTAGATGCGCAGGGTTGTGCGTGGCGGCGCTGCATGGATGTCCGCGGATTTTAGCCTTGTCCAAGCGCCTGTAGTCTCGCATTTAAAGCGGCACTTTATTGCAATCCAACGCGCATCGTTATGCCCTCATTTTACCCCCTCCCTTGTATACTCGCGATTACACCCTGCAAGCGTTCGTTCTCAGATTTCACGGGATGCTCCTTTCCAGTCCCTTGCCTTCCTCTATACCTTTGGGCTGCTGCTCGGCCCTGGCCCTATCTTTGGCTGTGTGGACTCAGTCTTCCCATAGGTTAAGTGCCCTCTACCAGCTTGCTTTCTCAAATTAATTTCTCTAGTTCTGTCCTCTCTGCCAAGCATCACTTCAATTGAGTACTTACTATCTCTACTCAAAGTCTTATCAAACCTAACAGGTTCAGAACGGAACTTTTGATGAACGCCCTCGTCGTTCCTCCAGCTAACTGCTCCTTTTTTTTTTTTTAGTTGGAGTCTCACTCTGTCGCCCAGACTGGAGTGCAGTGGCACGC